TTTAAATCAAAGTGAGGAGGAGCGCCATCTAGTAGGTACCACATCCGTTGCCTTAATTGTAACGGTATCTCTTCTAGGAGTACTGGCAAAATATCTTCTAAAAAGTGGAGATATCCTGGCCCATTTAATCTGTTCGGGAGAATATAAGGCCCGATTAAATACTGATCTATTATGCCAGCCCAAACATTTATTGAAAATTTTCTTTGATGCCCAGTTTCCCTAATGGCGTGAGGATTTTCATCACTCCAAATATGCGTATTGTGCATATTGAACACGCCATCACGAGTGAATGAAGCCTCGTCAGTATACAATAATATTTTTAGAAAATCAGGAATATCAACACATTTTTGAATCATCCATTCACAAAACTCCACTCTCTTTTCTTCATCACCTGGATATAAGGCCTGGACTTTTTGGATGTGATAAGGATGTAAACCTTGTTCTTTAAGTGTCCGCCACACAACAAATGAGGACACTCCAATTTCAAGACCTAGTCTTCTACAACTTAATTGAGGCCTGTTTTCAACAGCTTCCAATATTTCTTCTTCGCCGCCAATGTTCTTTGTGTTCTTGTTCTCCCTCGATCTGCATTGACACTCTCAAATTTTCCATGGTCTCTTAGATGCTGAACAGTTGAAATAAACGTACGACAGTCCGGAATTCTCCGATTTGGAAACCGTTCGCGATACAGGATTTGTGCTTGCCGAGAATTTTCTCCAGCTGCCCCATAAACCAGCACTATATCCGTTAGTTCAATATTCGTAAATAGTGGCATCGTAAAAAAATATTTAAAAGTAATCGTAACAACACTTTTTACCAACTTGGAAATGACGCGCTCGTGTTAGCCAGATTCGTAAATCAACTAAAATTTTAATAATCTATAGTTTCAAAAATGTATAGTTTAAAAACAATCATTTATCAAATATTCTAGTTTTTTGATAACGAGGGTAGTAAAAACCAGTCTTCGGAAATAGAAATTAATTCGAAAATCTTGGCAACATGGTTATTTCTTACAAGACTAGTTTTCTTATCATCTGACAAAAACTTGCATATTAATTACTGTTGATGTTTAAAATAGGTAAATAAACCTAATTTATATAGGTCATCCTCAACATATCAGTGAAGTACGTTTGTTTTAGAATTAATTTTCAAAAATTAATAACTCCCTTAATAAGGGGTATTTTTAAAAAATAATATTTTTCTACATTCAGTGGGGATCTGCGCAATACCCAGTTTTAATATGTACGTGTATTTCAATAACACCCTGTATAAAATTTTACCACGGGCTGGAAATTATCCTTATTCAAATGAATTATTTAGTTTGTTTTTGTAAAAAAATAAATTAATTTACCTAACCTGTGCGGCATGGAGCCGTCGAGGGTTGCTTCGCAAAGAAATATACAAAAATGAGTAAAAATAAAAAATTGAACTATTGGCCTAACCTGTACGTCCTGGAGCTATTTAAATTTAATTGATTGCTCTCGCACAGGTTAGATAAATTAGTTTTTTTTATTTTATCATTTCTTTCATATTTGTTGCGAAGCAACCAATGTTGGCCCTTGGCCGCATTGGTTAGGTAAATTATTTTAGTTTTTTATTTTTTCTAATTTTATGTATATTTAGTTTTTCGATCAATTGCTTTTTCTATCAAATCTTTTTTCGATCATTTTCTTTTCGATCAATTTATATTCGATAAAATGTTTTTTCGATCAAATGCATCCGATCAAATGTATTCGATCAAATGTTTTCGATCAATTTTGTGCCACTCGTTCTATTGTAGGTACTTAGGAATTCACCTTTTGCTTATTGGCGATGCTGATGTGGCGTAAATCATACCTAATATTTATAAATGTAGAATATAGGATGTTTTACGAAATTAATACCAACGTTTGATTCAATCGAATGGAGCAATTTTTTATTATTTGAAAAATTAAAAGGTCCCGCGTTTTTTTATAGAAATTAGTTTTTTTTGTTGAATAAGATACAATCAAATAATACTTAAAGCCTTGGTCACAGTAAATTTATTGAAAATTGCACTTTTCAATAAATTTATTGTATGTGGCACATGCGCCCCGTTTGTATCTAAGAAGGTAGGATATAAAATATGTAGGAAGTAGGTAAGTAAACTTAAAATATTAAGGGCCAGTTTTTCCAATTGAAAAATGGTGTATTTCAAATGTAGTTCACATCTGAACTTACTTTAAACCGTCAAAGTTGGGCGTTTAAACGGAGTTCAACGTTTTGACATTGACACTTATATTAAATAATAAAGATAGTTTTTGTATATTTTATAAAATAAATCGTGCTCATGAATGACTTTGAAGTAATAAGTGAAAACGATAAGGAAATTGTAGCCTATTTAATGCATATTAATATACCTAGGAGAATACGCATGATTCGAGTGAGATATAATCATTTTTTTAAATTGGCATGAACAGGATTTTTTTGCAAGATTTCGTTTGTCTAAGGAAACGGTTAACAGAATAAATAATGAAATAGAAGGACGAATTGCAAATCCGACTAATAGGTAATAGGAAAATTACATTTTTATAGCATTTTGTGATCTTTTTTTTTTTGGTGTCATCGGCATCGACTACTAAGGTCATTAGCCTCGTATTCTGTGTAGGCTTTGTTACTGTTTCCCAGCGCCACTTTGGGAACAGCACTGTTAATTAGAACCCAACAGTGAATTATTTTATTATTCTAGAAATAATGCACTAACTTCGAAGTCATGGTTCTGTTGACTATACGATTTTTTGCAACGGGATCTTTCTTAATTACCACCGGTGACTTCTGTGGAGTGCATAAGAGTACGGCAAGCAAAATTATTAAAAATGTATTTAGAGCAATAGCTGCACTACGTCCTCAATACGTTAAAATGCCACAAACGCAGGAGGAAATTAGAAGTGTGCGCCATGGTTTTTTTAATATTGCCAGATTCCCTCGTTGTATTGGAGCTTTAGATTGCACCCACTTAAAAATTCAAAGTCCTGGTGGGGATCAAGCTGAAATTGACAGAAACAGGAAGCAATACTTTTCAATAAATGTTTAAACAATTTTCAGACCAGATTAAAGAATTCAAAATATTGTAGCTAGATGGGAAGGATTGCAACATGATTCAAACATATTTAGGAATTCTAACATAAGGATGAAATTTGAAAGGGGTGAAATGGGAGACAATTTACTTGTAGTGGATCGTGGATATCCTATTAAAAAATATTTATTAACTCCACTTGCGAATTAGCAACTCCGGCTGAGCAGCTATATAATGAATCGATAATCAGAACGAGAAATCCAGTTGAAAGAAGTTATGGTGTATGGAAACGAAGATTTTCGATACTGGCACTGGGTATTCGACTAAAACTAAAAAGGATAGAAGCTATTATAGTAGCAACAGTTTTACACAATATTGCCTGTGAAGTGAGAGAACGAGACCCATCAATGGATCAGGAACTTGAAAAATTAATTGAACAGCAATTAATTGATGTTGAACCTCATTACGCTGAACAAAACCAACAAAATAACAATTTTTCAACAAAAAATTTATTTATTTATTATTTTCAATAGTTAATGTAATGTTAAGATAAAATAAATACAAGTACTTACTGTTTCTATTATTATTTTTATTTTCCTATCTGTACACAGATAAGGATTTATATTTTTTTTTCGACCTCGAGTTTTCGACGGATTTTTAGGTTTTGGTGTCCCCTAAAAACGTTTTGACTATTTTCGCGATGAGTGTGTGTGTGTGTGTGCGTGCGTGTGTGTGTGCGTGTGTGTGTGTGCGTGTGTGTATGCGTGTGTGTGTGTGCGTGCGCGCGCGCGCGCGCGCGTGTGTGTGTGTGTGTGGTCGCGTGCGTGTGTGTGTACTCGATAATTCATGAACTGATACAGAGAAAAACACAAAATTTTAAACTTAAGCTTTATTTTGATCTGCGGTGAACTGATTAGATTATGGACAGAGTCAGAACATCTAGGAGGATACTTTATAGAAGGTCGTTCTTATATTTTTTTGGATATATCTGTAATTTACGTTTGGAAGATAAAATTCTCTGAATAAAAATTACTTCTAATATTATTCTCTATAATTTTTATTCTATACAAAATTATCCTAAAATGATCCGTGTTCGAGAAATTTGTCAAAATGTGCAAAATTCTAATATTTAAGAAAATTGTTAAACTAAAAGTTGTTGGTGATATCGATATCTATAATTTTTGGTTAAAACATGATTTCTCTAAAATTTACCATAATAGAAAAATTTGAGGAAAAGTGTAAAATTTAAATTTTTCAATATTTTTGTTGGCAATGAATATATTATAAAAAAATGTTTCGAGTTAGATGTATGTGGAAAATCTAAATGTAAGTGTGGACAATTTAAATGTAAATGTGAACATTTACAGAGGTAATACAATAGTACAAAATAACCGGAAAGAGCCTGAATTAACTAGATAGGAAAGTAATGTGTTGGACACATCAGATTTTTATTGAAACTAATTAGAGATATCACAATAAACTGAAATTAATTTAAATAAAATACAAAAAGTTGGAACAATAAATTTAAACTTGGGCATTACGTTGTTGATATATTACTTTGTAATTGTTTCTCCTTTATTTTAAGGTCTAATTCTAAAACCTTCATCTTAATGGCATGTTCTTCTCTTCTTTGGCTCATATTTAAATCGTGTTTTTCACGTTCTCTTTCAATTTTTGTTTTTGACTCTTCTAGCAGCTGGGTCATTTGCAATTTGATTAATTCTAATTTTGCACTACCCACCTCTGTCCAGGTGCTATTGGCATTATTTCTGGGTGTGGATTTATGCGCTTTAGCCGTTTTATTTTTTTTTTTTGTAAATACTACTTGGTCTATTTGATGAGTCTCTTTAAGTTGTTTACTTGATCCTGCTTTATTACTTGATGCTTCGTTTATTTTTTCTTGTATATCCAACGGAAGAAGCGAAAAAGATCTAGGTTTTTTTAATATAATTGGAATAAAAGTTGCTCAGTTTAATTTTTGTGGCACCTCTATTTTTGAAGAACCCGCTTCTTCTTGAGAAGAACCCGCTTCTTCTTGATTTTCGATAATATCGTCTCCGTTAATTTCATTATTTTTAACTGCCTTAAGTATTCTATCGTCATCGAATTCTGATTCCATTCCCGTAATATGACTGCCTAAAATGTCTTTTAGTGATTGATCAACTGAATCAATGTTTATGATTTTAGGCGGTCCACCGCCAGTCCTTCGCATATATAATTTTTCATCAGCATATTTTTTTTTTGTTCTTTTTTTCAAATTATCATATTTTCTCCTCAAAGTATTTACATCCCTGGGATTAATATTATTTGCATTAAACTCTTGACACAGCTGTAGCCATTCTAAATTTTTTTCTCTTGAATTATTGACATCCGTTTTTTACATTCTAAAATATTTTTCCTTTTGGACACTAGCGATACCTATTAAAATTACACACTATTTATAATTTATTTATTACGTACTATTTAATTTATGTAATACTTCGACACTAACTCACAATTCTAATTTATATATTACAAGTTCAACTCTGCTACGAGAAGTCTCTAGATGCTCCTGAAAATTCCATCTCTGACTCAACGGCACGCTTCGCCCGTTCTACCCGTTTCTCGTTTCTCCGTCTTTTCGAGCATGAGCCGAGTGCCACAGACGTGAAGGTCGCTTGCTTAGACAGAGTTACCTTAGAAATTTTATGACATTGCCCCCTCCTTAAGAAATAGTTCCTCCTGGAACTTAAACTGAATGGTTGTATTTACAACTGGATCCTCTTTTACAATTTCCAGTTGCATGGAAGTAACAAGGGACAGTCTTCGTTATAACCTGAACGCTAGGAGAATGGCTACAGACCAGTATTTTAACCTGGGTATCTTAAAAGATTACTTCCACCATGCTTCTAATGACCCTCCAATTCAGCTGGTGGCTATCTATCTTTGGCAAAGCTAGTGTCTCTACATTTGACTCCAGTACAGACTGAGTAATGCTTCCCATACATCATGAGAGGTGGATTGATCTCGGAAGGTGTTTTTTGTTACCAAATAGAAAAGATAACGCGATCCATCTTGAAGTTTTAATGCTCTTCCAGGGGCTGGTAACTGATCTTGAAGTTCTGGCAATCTCGACCAAACTTCTTCCGGAATATAGATGCCAGACCTCGAGCGTCGTAGATGTTGACGGAAGTGCTATGGACCAGCGAGTAGTCTTTTAAAACCGTGAGCAGGTCTTGTTGTTGCTCGGTTGTAACACCATGTCTTGCTTTTCCAGCACCTCCATATGCACCCATAAATTTTTCAAAGATAAGGTTAGGTATTTCTTGGAGCTGGTTTACTTTTTCTTTCTCTTCATGGTCACCCTCAAATGGCGCCAGCCGGTTTTGGTGCACTACCTTTGGTTTACCGTTCGGGATCTTACTTATACGGTAAATGACATCATTGATTGATGAGGTACGGGCCGTCCCAAGACCTTTGAAGCTTTGGAGAATAACCCTTTTGTCTTTTTGGGTTATGGAGCCAGACTTTGTCGCCTTCCTTGAAACATCCTTCTGTGGCTTAGGAATCGTATCGCTTCTTCATTCTGTCACTGGCGATTTAAAGATGCGAGCGGATCAATTCATGCATATCGTCCATTCTTCTTTGTAACTGGATCACATAATCTTTACCAGCTACATCTTCTCCAGGTCGGCATCCAAACTCGAGTTCTCACAGTAATCTCATCTTACGTCCAAACAGGACGTTTGCTGGTGTTTGGCATGTTGATTCATTGACAGCGGATCTATAAGCCATTGCAAAGAGCGAAATATACTGATCCCAATCTCGCTGATGGTTTCCACTTTTGACGGATATTTTCCAATGGTCTTATTCATTTGCTCTACCATTTCATCGGATTGTGGGTGCAAAACTGTGGTTCTGGTTTTCTTCATGCCTAGTCTGTCACAGATTCCACGGAAGAGTTGGCTTTTAAAATTTCTGCCTTGTCACTGTGGATCTCCAAGGGCACTCCAAATCGACAAATAAACTCTTTTATCAACACATCTGCAACAGTTGCGGCCTCTTGATTTGGAATGGCGTAGACTTCCACCCACTTCGTGAAATAATCCATAGCCACCATCATGTATTTATTACCATTCTCGGTCGTGAGGAATGGTCCAGCAATATCTAAGGCGATCCTCTCAAATGGGCTACCAACGTTGTATTGCTTTATGGAAGCCTTCCTTTTTCGCTAAGGTTTATTACTCATAGCACAGCTGGTATATTTCTTACACCAGTCCTTTACATAATTGGAACTGTTCATCCAATAAAACCTTTCCCGAACTCTCTGAAGGGTTTTTCTAACACCGAGATGTCCTCCTGATGAACTGTCGTGTAACTGACGAAGTACTTCGGCTACTCTCGCTTTAATAAGCCATCTTCGAGGATAAAGGAGCCCCACTGAGCCAAATACGACTTAAGTACTAAAAAGAGATTAGATAATTCTTGCCAAGTAGGCCGATGATTTTCCTCTTTCCATTGTCGCATCTTCTTTAAAACGGTGTTATTCTCTTGTTCTTCCTTAATTTTAGCAGGGTCCCACTCATCGTTGACTACAGTGGTTCTTAGTAGTCCACTTTCTTTGGATTCCACTTTGTTGCAGTGGGATCACTCTGCTGGACACGTTCTTCTAGAAAGAGAATCGGCATTTCTGTAGCTTATTCCGGCTCTATGTTCGATCTTAAAGTCGTACTCTTGAAATCGTTCAATCCATCTGGCGATTTGACCCTCCGGGTTTTTGAACTGCATTAACCACTTAAGGGTGGCATGATTGGATTAGGAATTTCCTTCCATATAGGTATTGAAAGAAGTGTTTCACGCATTTAACAACTGCTAGGAGTTCTCTTCTCGTGACGCAGTAATTTCGCTCAGGTTTCGAGAGCACTTTACTTAAATAACCCAGTACTCTTTCTTTTCCCCCTTGAATCTGTGAAAGCACTCCTCCAATTTCCACATTACTGGCATCAGTATCTAGGATAAATTCTCCCTCTGGTAGTAGGTAGCCCAATATTGGCGCTGTTGTTAAATGCTTCTTTAAAGTTTCGAAGGCAGTTTGGCAGTCTTCGTCCCAGCAAAATTCTCTTGCTTCTTCTGTGATTTGCGTTAGTGGTTTAGCAATATCTACAAACTCTTTATGAATCTTCGGTAGTCCGTACAAAGCCCAAGAAAACTTCTTATTTGGTTTTTATCCTTTGGTTGTGGCCACTCTGTAATGGAAGCGACTTTTTCCTTGTCAACTACATGACCCAGGTAATTAACTTTATTTTGAAATGGTTGGAATTTCTTGGGGTTTAGCATCAGTTGGGCAGCTTGAAGTCTTTTAAAAACATCTGCTAAGTTTTTTAGATGCTCATCAAATGTCTTCCCCAAGACTATGATGTCGTCTAAATACACCAGGCATGTTTTCCAGGATAACCCTCTCAATACATTTTCCATAAGTCTTTCAAATGTCACGGGGGCATTACATAATCCAAATGGCATAACGTTAAATTGCCACAATCCAGATTCGGTGGTAACAGCTGTCTTTTCTTTGTCTTCCAAGGTAGAGAATAGTTTACTTCCGGCCAATGTGTCCAAGGTATCGTCGATACGAGGCAGAGGGTAACTGTCTTTCTTGGTAGCATTGTTCAACTGACGGTAATCCACACAGAACCTCGTAGTTCCATCCCACCAATGTGACGATAGTCTAATTTATTTATAAGTTATTTATTGAAAATACACTATTACAATTTATTTATGACGTACTATTTAATTTATGTAATACTTCGATACAATTCGATACAATTCTAATTTATTTATTACAATTTATGTGTTCAGTCCAATACTACATAAAAAGTATATATTTATTCATTAAATCAATAAATCTTTGTAAACTTAAAACTTGATTGCAATTTATGTAAAAGATTATAGATTTAGATAAAGATATTGAAGAAAATATACCTGATTTTCACAGGCGAGTTTATGAGTCGGATTATAGGTCAGCAGTTTGCGTTCAGGCGAGTTTAATGGTGTCACTATTAATCACCCTGTATAATTACATCCCTACAATGTATATTTTTAAATATATAATTATGCACTTACAATATCGTGGGCGTCCATTTTTTGCAAATTCGTGATAACTGAAGCGACTATAGATTATATTTTATTAAAACAAAAAATTTAACGAGTTCATAACTAAGGTCAATTCAATAATAATAATATTAATAATAATAATAATAATAATAATAATAATAATAATAATAATAATAATAATAATAATAATAATAATAATAATAATAATAATAATAATAATAATAATAATAATAATAATAATAATAATAATAATAATAATAATAATAATAATAGTAGTAGTATTTATTGACATTTTTCATACATAACAGTACATGCAGTCAAAATAAGTAAATAAAACATAGAATTATTTGACTACTAAGTCAACTAATATAGAAACTATAATAAAATATAAAAACAAGTTATAAAAAAAAATAAAAAATTTAAAATTAGTTAATTTTACACGTATTTTTTACAGTACAGTTAAAATCTTACATCAACTAAGTCAATCATGTCAACTGGTATAACAAATACAAAAACAAATTAAAACATATTTACATAGAAATGTTTAGATATTCTTCAATACTGTAAAAACAATATTTTAGTAGGAATTCTTTGGTAATATTTCTAAACCTATTTTTAGACAAGTTCTTAAGGTTAGCATGTTGATGTAATGTTAAAAATTTGTTATAAATATTAGTATCTAATTTATTGTTTTTACTTGTACATATTCTTGACCATAGAGGTACAAGGTTTTCTGAGCCTCTTGTTATGTAACCGTGCGTGTCAGAATGAGTAGTTAAAATATTTAGCTTCTCATGTATCGTTGTAAGCGTTTCCAAAATATACACGCACGGCATAGGTAGAATTTTATGTTTTATAAATAAAGGTCTGCAGGAG